TCAATAATTTTAGGTATCACAGGGGGGACAAAAAGAAGAGAGACGAAAGAAAATAGCTAAAATATCCTTGCATTAAAATTTTAATTTAAAATTACCAAAATTATACATACTGATTTATCTATTGATTTGTGGTTGAGATTGAATCTCACGGTTACCACAAACTAATCAGTTCTCCCTTGAATGGACATATATATATATATATATATATATATATCTTAGTATATGATTTGATCTGATTTTGATATAAATAAATGAATATATAACAAATTCAGATTAAATTGTCAATTAATAAAAAAATCAAGATTTTGGATCTGATAAAAATCATGGGTTATGTTTTGAAAGATAGAAACTTTTTTTATGGTATAAGAAATGATCGTTTTGCATGAACTCCATTCCCCATAGATTAAAAGAAAATAAGGGTAACTACAAGGGTGGTGTGTGATTGGTTTGAACTTGACTCTAAAAGTCAAAAGTACCAGAAGGTCTTAAGTTCAAATCCAATGAGAAATAAAAATCCCTTTTGTGGCTACGGAGGTTCAAATGCGGTGACTCCGGGCTATCTGCAAAGCAGATGATCGTTCTGGGATTAGTCGGCTCGCATAGCGGGTTAGATATCCAAGTTAATAAAAAAGAAAAAAGAAAAAGAAAACAAGGGTGTTACTATTATACCAAGGGCTAAAAATCTGTTTATTTCATTGCTCTTTAAATTGTATAATGTTCTGATGATGCTTTGACACATTTGTAAAAATCAATAACCAATAAAAAAAATAGAAATTTATGAATTAAAAAAGGAGATACAATTTTTTAAAGTTGATCTTAGAGGGTGTTTAGGATTGCTTATTTGAAACAACTTATATTTTTCTACAAAAGTCTTTATCAACTTATTATAAGTTATAATGATTTAACTTTTCCAAAAACTCCTTATTACCGGTTTGACACCGCTATACGTTGTTTATCAAAACACTCAAAAATACTTATTACTAATGTCATACTGGAGTAAGTCAATAAATTATTTTATAAGCAATCCCAAACACCCCTTAATTAAAAAATAAAGGAAAATGGGGCAGCAGAATGTTTACATATTGATTATGATAAAAGATTATTTAATCTAAAATTTTAAATTAAATTTATTCATAATCTGATAACAATGTTTAATATTTTAAAAATATTCTCAACGAAAACAAAATACATATTTTTTAATGAAAACAACTTCATATGGTATTACTAGATATTACTAACACTACTAGAAAGCTGAGCATTTTCATTGAAAAATACTAGCAGATTTCATGTGGATACACTACTAGAAAACCAGGTATCAGCGACGAACATCAGCGAGGGAACTTTCCCCTCGCAGATCAGCGAGGGATTAGCGAAGAAAATACCAAAAATATATTCCCTCGCTGATCTGCGAGGGAATTTTTATATTTTCCCTATTTTCTCATTTTTATGTGTTATATGTACATATTTTTATGTGTTGATGTCGTTCGTATGCCTGTACATGTGTTGTGTGTGTGTGTGTGTATATATATATATATGTTGTGGTTGTTAACCGTGATATGTTCATGTGTTATAAGTATATATACCTCGCTGATTAGTCGCTGAAATTATTCCTCGCAGATCCGTCGCTGAAAGTGTCCCTCGCAAATCCGTCGCTGATAGCATTACCTACGACTATTTGACCGACGGAGTATCAGCGACGGATTGCCCTTTCAGCGAGGGATTTGCGAGGGATTTTTCCCTCGCTGATACTCTGCATTTTTGTAGTGATATGACCATCAGAAAAGGTGACCAGTTTGGTAGTGTAACGAAAACCAGACTTATTGAAAACAAAAACTTACATTTCTTTTAGAACAAAACAATATATTTAGTTTTATTCTGACCAATTTATTTGTTTCTCACATTTATACCAGTGTCATTAATACTTTTGTATCATAGAGATCATTTTCAGTTACAACAAAATTTCTTGAAGTGTCATATCAGCTCAATGAATTTATTTGTAACTACCTTATAGAGAAAAGTTCCACTACGAACCAAAATTGATCATGAATCCGGAATTTGACCACAAAACGTCACGTGTCTTTCTTCAGGACGAATATTCATCATGAATAACACATTCATGAATAATATGGAAATGTCATTCATGAAGAATATGGACGTGTTATTCACCATGAATCGCACATTCATAAAGAATATGTAACAACATTCATGATGAATAACATGTTCATATTCATGTTTGAATATATCACATGTCGCGCTATAAACGGTTCCAGATTCCTAAATCCTATATCAGCATTTTTGAAGTGCTTTATCATCTTTAAAACTATATTTAATCAATTATAACTTAAAAAGTTCTAATTACATGTTTGGATGCACAATTGGTGCACATAAATGAAAAAAAGCATGGACTTAGGGGCCATTTACTAAACACTTACTTGATAAGTGCATAACGGATAAATTTCCTTATCTGATGAACATGAGAAGGGTCAAGAATCTTACATGTTAAGAGCAATAAAAAAGATAGAGTCTTACTCGGTAAGTAAGGATGACGACTCTTACCCAGTAACTTGTTGTGTTCGATATGTTTTTGATGTACTAAAATCTTATGTATTAAAATAAATTATAATGTTGAATCCTATCGGTAAACACTTACCGGGTAAGCATTTAGGTACACGGTCCTTTAGAGAAATAAAATCTATTTACCTAATATTTGTATTCTAGCCGGTTATTTTTAATAAGCACAGTGGTACTGATTAAAAACACACGCTTAAATAGTGAAATGATAGATTTCAAAATAGAATGCTACTATTTCGATAGGTACGATCTGAAATTCGAAATTCTGAAATTCCAATAAAAGACATTTTATTTCACAAAAAGATTTACACTTATATGATAACTAATGGACTAATTGTATGAAAAATAACGTACTCTAACTTGATTCCTATTATGGGTAACGTACTTTCAAAACTTTCATTTTGGTACATAAGATATAAAGTTTAAACATTTAAGTACCTAAGTAACCGGTTGAAGCATTAACGTTTACCATGCTGATGTGGTATCCAACTCAGTATTAAGATATCTATGCTGATATCACTCGCCACATCAACATTGGTAACCGGTTACCATGTTGATGTGATATCCAACTCAATATTAAGATATTTATGTTGATATATCACTCGCCACATCAACATTGGTAACTGGTTAATGCTTCAATCGGTTACTCGAGTACTTAAATGTGTAAAACTCCACATCTTAGATATCAAAATGAATGTTTTGAAAGTGCGTTATTTAAAATAAGAATCAAGTTAAAATATATTATTATTATTATTATTATTATTATTATTATGTAATTTGACTATAACTAATCCAACAAATAGAAAAACATTTAATAAAAAATAAAAAATAAATTTATATTTCAAGAAACAAGTTAGCTGCAAAGAGGAAAAATAGGGTAGGATCAAATAGAAGTAGTAGGCTCACTTTCTCCGCGTTTCCTTCGGCTCGGCTTCTGGGGGATCTTCTTCTTCTTCTCTCTCTTCAGTCGCCTTCTCTCCATAGTAGTAATTCTGTTGACACCATCTTTATATGCTGCTTCGAAAACCTGTTTTTACCCTAAAAACCCGTAGAGATGAAAAGCCTAAAGATTGCCTCAAGATTTTGGAATCATCTTTTACCCTTTTTACATCATTATCTGTAGCTGCTCTAATTGCTACTCAATTTCACCATACACATTTCTACCATTTTTTGAGCTTTATTAATTTGTTTTCTTGAAAACCCTAAAAAAAACCCATTAATTATCTGCCTTTATTCACCAAGAAAGGAACACACACACACACACCCAACACACACAGACACACTTGAAAGAACACAACAGTAGGGAGTCTTGATTGAGTCATGTAGAGAGAGAGGGACAGGGTGACAGTAGAGTGAACAGGTAGCTACTAGACGTTTTGTAAGATTAGTCCCTTCTGTCTCTTGAGTTTTAGAGGAAAAAGTAGGATATAAGCTGACCCAAGAACACTCAAAAGCCTTTTGTAACTTTCTTTTTTGTCTTTTTGGTCAATTAGCAAAGAGATTTCAGCTCCTCCCTTTTCCTACAATTCATCTCTCACTTCCCACTGTTTCACTTTAACCAAGAAATCAAGAGAGAGAGAGAGAGAGGTTTGACTGAAGAGATCGAGGCCATCATCACAACCTTCCTTTCTTGCTGCTAACTCCCAGGAAGAGAGTATAGAATTCAGGTTGCAATTTTACCTTCACTGTGCGTACATAATGTATACCCAACGAATTCGTAAAAAACCCTTAATTTTTTGGTGTATTTTTAGATTGGAATTACAGAAAACATATATAAAGTTGTATATTATTATTTAATTTGCAAAAAAGTTATCAATGATTGTTATCCCAAGAAGCATTACAAATCTAACCCCTCAAAACCCTCGTCTTGAAAGAACCACTTCTCCTTCCCTTTCACGAGATCCAATCTTCTTAGCTTTCTCTTCATGAATCCCACTTCTGAATACCCTCTTCCCATTTTCTTATTTTTTTTCTGCACGAGTTAACTCAGCTTATTATTAAAGATAACTCGCTCGTCAAGATCTACGAATTATTTATTGGTGAGGGAAGATATATAGTACGTCTTGAAAATCATTCAAGAAATCTGTAGTGATTCAGGGTTCTTATATATAATTATGAAGAGTATGTTGTTGTCTTTGAGAAGAGATCAGATCTGGCTTCTGTAATCTACTTGCAAGTAATTGAATCAAGAATTCATGGGTTCCTTAATTTCTTGTTGAAATGATATTACGTGAAATACCAGATTCAGCAAGCTTTTTAGTTTGTTGTTGTTGTTGCTGTCTGTGTTTAGATGAAACAAGTTTCTATATGTTCTTACTTCTACAACCCATCTTTCATTGATTTACTGGTATTTTGATTCTTATATGTTTAGCAGTTGGATTTGCAGAACATTAAGACGAAAATTGCTGCAAGAATTATTGGAAACAAAGATGGCGTCATCTTCAACTTCGCCATGTGCAGCCTGCAAGTTTTTGAGGCGAAAATGCCAACCAGAATGCGTTTTTGCACCTTACTTTCCACCTGACCAACCTCAAAAATTCGCCAATGTCCACAAAGTATTTGGAGCCAGCAATGTCACCAAGCTTCTGAACGAACTGCACCCTCACCAACGTGAAGACGCCGTGAACTCACTTGCTTATGAAGCCGACATGCGTCTCCGTGATCCAGTCTACGGTTGCGTTGGTGTCATCTCCCTTCTCCAGCACCAGCTCCGCCAGCTCCAGATGGATCTTTCTTATGCAAAATCTGAGCTTTCTAAGTACCAAAGTCACAATCTCAACGGTAGTGCCACTCAAGGACTTATAGCTGCCGCAGCAGCGGCGGCGGCAGCAACCCACCACCACCACCATCATCAAACCCTAGGAAACAACTTGATTGGTTGTTGTGGCGGTGGAGTCGTCAGTCGAGACCATTTGTACCACCACCATTCACCGTTCTTCCCAACCAGAGATCAACAAACGGCTGCCATCAGAGCCTTTGATGTCAACAGTAGTTACGATGGCACCACCGGCGGTGGTGCTGGTGTTCTTGCTATGAATGCTTCCACCGGCTGTATTGGCCAACACCCACAATTCCAGCAACCTAGAGCTGCCGGAAACGATGATCGGCCGACACCAATCGATCCATCTTAGGGTCTCAACCAACTCAGGTAATAATCCATAAATATTATCTGTAGTTCCTTTTTTTTTTTTTTTTTCTTTTTCTTTCTGAATTCGATTATTCCATCACTGTAATGAATTGAAACTACATTTCACTCCCTCTAATTGGGATGCTATCATAATTTTCATTCATACCACAAACTTCATAAGTAATCATACCATCAGTTACGTTTTGCTGATCATCGATCTTTCTTGAAATTAAATTTCTCAACCATCATTTTCTGCAAAAATGATCATCAATGGAGATCAGGAGATGGGGACAATGTACGGTGTAGTAGGTTTCTTTTCCTTTGCTTTAATTCACAACTTCAAACATGTTTAGCAAACAAATGCCACATATTTTTCGTTGGTTTCCCCAATACCAACTGATATTTCTTGTGATGAAAACTAGGTGTAATCATTACATCTGTGCTCTATTTCTTGTTTTTACAGAAATAGGATACAAAATCTCTAATTTCTGCTTACTTTTAAACCCCTTTTTTCATCAAACTTACCACAAAATCACATGTCATCATTAACATTTTATCTCTCTCTCTATATATATATATATATTCCTAATAGTTTTAAACAAATGACCTAAAATAAAATATCAGTAATTATTTACATTTAATTAGAATTAAAAATTATGTAATTATACGAGTATAAATATATAATTGATAACTTATTATATACGTGAGACGAATTTTGTTTGGTTTGGTTTTTTGGATGGTGGTTTTATAAACGTACTGATCTTCGTTGTTGTTTAACCCTAATTTTCTAACATGTAGTTTTCAAGGATATTACAAATTACCAAATATATCGAAAGTGTATGTGAAAATTATTAGAGCTTGTAGGAGAGTGGTTATATATAGTTTTCGAAAGCTCTTTTATAATTCATACTCAAGAAGGAAAAGAAAGAACATGCATATCTGAGTAGAAACAACAAAACCCTAGGATGTGTTGCAAAACTATGGTTTATATAGTTCTGTAAATTTGATTTTTTTTATTAACCTGGATATTCAACCCGTTATATGAGCCAACTAATTTCAGGACGACCACCTGCTTTGTAGATAGTCTGGAGTCACCGCATTTGAACCTCCGTGGCCACAAGAGGATCTTTATTCCTCATTGGATTTAAACCTGTGACCTTCTGGTATAAATTTGATTTTGATTATAACACGACATAATAGTCTCCTTAATTGGAAGAACACGTCTAAGTATCCCTTTTAGCTACTTAGCTTTAGTTAATCGGGTTGTTGTTTGTGAATCTGTTGTGTATTCTCTTTGGACTTATTAACAAAGTTTATACTAGTCGTTGCAACTATATATACAACACTAAAACAACCCTAAAAAGTCATTATTTTCTTTTGGATAGAGATGAATAGTAATTACTAAAGTGTAAGAGAAGATTAGGTTTAGTAAGCTTTTCAAAGTCAAGTTAAGTAATTTGTTGTTTGCATACCAAAATTAGGCGTTGATGGTAAACGATAAGACGAGGGTTTCATGTTGACATTTTCATCCAGTACTTTCAACGAAATAAAAAAAGATTGTGTTTCATTTTGATTAATGAATCAAGGTTTTGCCGTCACAATTGCTTTTAATGTTCTCACTATAAACCCTTTTTCCATGAACAAATTTCTACTGACAATCAGTTCTCAAGGTTTGTGTTGCTGGTATATGTTCTTTTAATGTCTCTGATTACATATTATTGTTGATTAGAACGATGAAAGTATATGTTGAAACTGGCAGTGCATTAACTAATGAAAGAATTGCTTCGGTCATGGATATTGGATATCATGTCTTTATACAAGTATTTTTCAACGTTAAAGAACACATATACCTGACAAATCAGAGATGTAAATGGTACGCAAATTGTTGTATGAATGCTACAAGTAATTCTCATACAGATGAAAATGTATAAAATCAAGGGACTTGAAATCATAGCAACCGTTACATGACGGAGGAGCAATTTACTTTGATTTTGCCTAACATAGTACTTGATATCGAGTTGGCTAGTTGCAAAGTACGTACATAACTTACATGTCATAACAAATATAGCAACTTACAGGTTCCGATTTAAACATGCTTTTTAGACGTCATATCACTCTTGATTGTGCACAATGCATGCACCATCCCGACAAGTGAGCTCTTTCTTACCCGCTTCTCTTCATAACTTGGCGAGGCAAACCCCTACCCGTTCTTATTGTATCAAGGCACATAGCATGATATATAAGATTTCCATTATCTTGCTTTTGTGGCATCGTTTTGATAGATTCTATATATCAATTTGCTTTTTAAATCGATGTTCAAGAGGTCATCATTATGCAAAACACCTAAATAATTCACATAACGTAAACATATATACATCGCATTTGCATCTAACATCACTCAAACAATATATACATAACATAATTTGTAAAACGATATTGTATGCATTTTTATAGTCCTTTTGTGCTATAATCATTCTATCCCTAATTGCCAACGTAAAATAATAAAACAAAAAAAAAATGCCGATGGTAATTGTGGGGATCCCCGTTCCTCGATGTGGATGGGGATGAAGTAGGAAGCTTATTCTCCAATGGAGATGTGGACATAAACATAGATTAGTGGGGATTAGGGTCCATTATCTTCAACCCATTGCCTTTTTTAAATGGTTAAGAGCTTTTTTTATTTGATTAAACTGGATATCCAACCTGCTATGCGAGCCGACTAATCCTAAAACGACTATCTGCTTTGCAGATAGCCCGGAGTCACCGCATAGTTAAGAGCTCTTTCTTACATGAACAAACAATATCTAAAAATCTTTTATGAAAAGCTTATATAGGTTGGTGTCCTCTATGCAGTTGGGCCTTTTAGTCCAATTAACACTAACCATATGAATCAAAATCTACTCCTCTTACCTACATAGTAGCAGTGTTCAAAACGCCATGGTATGATATGGTATCAGACGCGTATTTGTTGTTACGAAATGGTTTATAGCATTTTTGTAAGTCGTGGTTCACGTCATGGCGTCTTGAGGCATGCCACGTCGTGCGTTATTTGTAACACGTGATTTTTTTCAAAAAAAAAAATATTTCTTAATTTTTATATTTTGTTTTTTTACACTTTTAACTTTAAATTTTACATTTTTATAGATCTTACTAATCACATCATCCACAGTTTCACAAATTCATAAATGTTACAGACTCACGGTTAAAGTGAAGTTATAAAATTACCTTTTTAAGTCTATTTTATGTATTTAATTAAAAACCTATTTTCATAATAATAATCTATATAATTTTTCTTCTTCTAATATGAATATACATTTTTTAATATTATTATTTGATTAATTAGATAATATATAGAAAACATATATCTATATATAATTATATAGAGATCTAATCAAATGAGAATTGCATAGTTTGTGATAACCGTGAAATTCAATGTGAATTACTCGTTTGAGATATTTAAGTATATTTCTTAAATAAACTAAAAAAGCAATATAATAATTTTATATTTTTGACAACCAATCAAAATATTTAATTAATTTTTGTTGGAAGGAAATATTTAATTAAAATTAGTTACCTAGTATATTAATTACCTAATATATATCGTATTTTAAAGATGTTTGTGTATCAAAGTGTATCATAGTGATAATGTTCACAATGTTTCACATGTACCACAATGTATTTTCGTTGTTTTATTAAGTATATCTTAGTGTGCATTTTCGTTTGCTTTACAAAAGGTATCACACAATGCATCTTGTATGTATATCTGAGTATCATAGTGAATATCGTTTGTATGTATTTTTCAACGATGTCTTCTTAGATATCATAATATGTATCTTGTGTTTAAATAAGGTTCATCCGAATAAGATTTGTCGGGGAGAGGAGAGATAAAAGGGGATATTTATAAAATCCTTAAAAGTCCCTTAATTAATATTTTAAGTTAAAATACCAAAATATTAATTGATTAATTTAATCTTTGATTTGTGGTTAAGATTTGAACTCATGATTATCATAAACGATCAAGTTCTTCCTTGAATGACCCCCTGATTCTATATATGACATACATATTTGCCGCCTTATGTCACGCCTTAAAAAACGTTGCGCCTTTATCGTGATGTGTAAGGCTTGAGACCTGATATCGCCGTTATGTCATGTTTTACTTCTTTTTGAACCTTGCATGGTAGTAAAGCATTATATATAAATTAATAATATATTCAAAATCTTTCAATTTTTTTGATATTCATACTTTACCTTTTTTTGTAAACAATGGAAGGTTTTTGAAAACTCATATTGCTTTTTTTTTTTTTTTTCTATATGAATGGATTATCTTTTAGAAAAACCCTTAGTACATTTATCTCCAATTTATAAAAAAATATATAAATTACTTTAAGCATAAGTATTTTTTATTTAAAGGAATTATATTAAAAATAAGTATTTTTTATTTAATTTGATACTTTTATATTAATAAGAAAATGAAAAGAGATCTATCATTAAATAAGATTTTTCAATAACCAATATTATAAAGAAAAAATATGTAAATATAGATTTTTTTTTTTTTTTGACTAATTTAAAGAACCTAAGAAGATTGAAGGGGTAATTTGAAACTTTGTTTAAAAAAATGACCTACTTTCCTTTTTTAAATAATTAGATTATAATTTTCTTTTAAATTAAATTATTCAAAATATAAACAATATTTTATTTAAATAAATTATTAAAAAACACAAGAATTTCATAATCTTTAATTTTCTCTCTCTCTCTCTCTCTCTCTCTCACTCACACACACACACACACACACACATATATATATATAGGTGGAGGTTCAAACGAGAACCCCTGTGATTTACAAGAATACGAGAACAACCCAATAAAATCAAACTTTTTTAATTAATAAATTAACTTTTATTATATATAAATAATTTAATAAGGACAATAATGTAATTAAGTAATTTTTATAATTTTTATTTTATTTTAATTAACCATAATTATCTTTTCACGTTCCACATTTTA